AAAGCACCACCCCTTTATTGTTACTCTTTCTGCGTTATTTAAGCCTCTGCCATCCTGCCAATAAACGAGACTTGATCAGACTCCTGTCTTGTCTCCATTTCTTGTGTCTCCTGCCTCTCCCAATTCCCGCTCCCTCCTCCAGGGTCCGCGTTGACTACCCCGCGGGTCGGGACAGTCAAGAAGAACTGGGTCATATAAGCAATTTCCACACACCTTGTACTTTTAAAGCATAAGATTACTAATAGATATTTGTCACCATTTCGGGGGCAGGGGGAGGATCAGGAGCACAGTACCCAAAGATAAGAGTCCATACTATTCAATATCCCACAACTCTCTTTCTTATACATTAAAATTTTCCTATTGATACCCAACCAAATGTCATAGAAATAAGAGAGAGAAAAAAAGAAAGAAACAAGTTGAACATATAAAGTGAATTTTAACATCTAGAGGAAAATGTACATTTGGATTCTTGCTCACCAGGCGCCTCCTGAGGCTTAATTCCTACATGTGCTCTTTCTTCTCATACCTTAATGATACAGCCAAGTGACTGTTTTCTCTAAACTATAATGACTTCTTATTCATAATAGGAGTTACTCCCATTATAGGGAGAAGGGGTATTTTTTTCAAAAGAAACAGAGAATAAAAGCACACTGTGCTGAAATTACCTGGAGGGGAAGTGACAGTAAAAATGAAGTGCCAGTTTGACCCAGAGATCAAGATTGCCAAGTTGGAGAAGCTTACGTAACCATCCTGAGTTTGTGCCTCGGTGCACCCTGAAAACAAATGCAAAACAAAATGTAGATGCTGGTTGTCTATTCAAGAACAATGTCTTCAATTCTTCTCTGAAGATCAGCAATTGGACAATAAAGGACAATTTCTAAAAAAATTAAAGAGATTATCTTATCTATCAGCTTTTTCTTAGACAAGTCTTGGAACCAAATAATCCAAGGTAGAACAATAACTAACATATATTAAAAGCTCACTATGCCAGACACCATGCTTTATATACATCACTGTATATAAAATATACAATAACCCTGAAAAATATGCTATTATCTATATTCTAGAGATTAAGAAATAGGCTCATGAAGGTTGAAATTACTTTGTGCTGGGGTTACAGCCCAAATCTGCCTGATTTCAAAGTTTACATTCTCAGCCACTACTATATATTGACTATTTTATTATTAAAAGTCTATAAAGAAAAAAATTCTATTAACTTTGTATATGGTCAGTTTCCAGAGTCCACTTCT